AAAATTCAATTTAAAATAAAATAATTTCTATATAGAATTATATGGAGAATGGTGATTAGAATGAACGATTCATAAATATAAATCACAAATCAAAAAATTCTATGGAATAATGAAAGACAGAAAAATCCTTCGAATTGCGTCATATTATTCCATTATATTTATATTGACAATTTCAAAAAACTATTCATACTATGATCATAGTATGATGGCAGTCGGGCAAGTATGCCCCCATCGTCTAGTGGTTCAGGACATCTCTCYTTCAAGGAGGCAGCGGGGATTCGACTTCCCCTGGGGGTAGGTTACTACGAAAGGAAGTTGATCATGGATTATCAATAAGCTTGGAATTGATTCTTCCCGGGTCGATGCCCGAGCGGTTAATGGGGACGGACTGTAAATTCGTTGGCAATATGTCTACGCTGGTTCAAATCCAGCTCGGCCCAATAATTCGCGGATCCACCAAAAAATGATATAACCCGTTTGTCCTTCTACAGAAATGCTTGATACGGAAGAATAAAATAAAATAAAAACTATTTTTTTATTCATTGACAGATTGATTATCAATCAATTTGACAATAACGAAAAAATGACTATTAATCCATGCTCCTCTCACTAAAGTACATGTCCCCGCACATATCAATCTATTACTCGCGTCTCTGTCTGTTAGAATATGACAATTCGAATCAAAAATCTACATAGGAAGGTTTGAAGGAAATTAAATCAACAACATATGTTGGACACTTTATTTCCCTGGGATTGTAGTTCAATTGGTCAGAGCACCGCCCTGTCAAGGCGGAAGCTGCGGGTTCGAGCCCCGTCAGTCCCGATGGATACAAATCTAATAAAAAAATACATCAATTCAGCTCTTCCTTTCCTGTGAAAGAGAGAACAAATAATATAACTTAATTTTATCCCAAACAAACGGGATCTCTCTTATTTTTTTTTCCACATTTTTCATCAAAAAAATGTGGTAATTTCTATTTGTACTGATTGATKAGAGAAAGACATATGTGACATATGTGAATTACCACAATTATTGGTAGCATCATATTCAGGATTCGAAAGAATACCGTACTGGGTCTATCTTTTTTGATTACGCCAGATTTTTGTAATGGAATAGAGTACTATACGTTTCCCGGGAGCACATACACAAAGGGAATTTGGACGATACAAAATAAATTTAACATAGTAAACTTTGATCTAATTTTTCGTCTTAAATCAAAATATATCMGTTCTGGCCCCGATTTTGTGTAACCTCAATTAGTAAATTCAATTACTAATTTTAATTTGAAACAATCTATCTCAKTCAAATRTCACACTGAACTTTTGATATATACGTTCCACTACTAATTCAAGGAAAGAGGATATTAATACAAACAAAGATCCCATCTATCTCTCTTAGTGAGTGAATTAATAATTTTTGAAAGTTTAAGTTTAGTTTATTTTTTTATTTTTTTTTTAATAAAATTTGATCAGTACAAAAAAAGGAAGGAGTTTAGTTCGAACCTCCCTACTTTTCCTTTTTTGAATTTCGCTGCTATTGTTTGCTTGAGTTTGTTTATAACCAATGTGAGGGTAAAGGTAGTCTGATGAGACTTCATCAGATGATTGCATTGGACAAGAGGTCAGTAGATTATAGAARAGAAAGAATTCAAAAAATTAGAAATAAAAAAAAGTAAAGAAATTCTTGATTGCATCAGGAATCCCATTTTGTTTGAATTCGGTATGGATAAAAGATCTTGCTATGTTATACTATTCAATTCTCGACGATGAATCGATTTTATAGCTCARATATTGTTATTCATGATATTTTAATACGATTCGATATCATCGAGATGCAATGCATCCCATTGAATTTACAAGCGAAACATTTATCATCTCTATGGGATTAAATCCCGAGTTATTGCSAATAAAAAATGAAACGATGAGATTATGGAAGTAAATATTCTCGCATTTATTGCTACTGCACTGTTCATTCTAGTTCCTACCGCCTTTTTACTTATAATATACGTAAAAACAATAAGTCAAAGTGATTAATTTGAATTAACCTTGACTTTTTAGTTCTTATCAATGATTGAAGATAAGAAAAATGAAAAGGATTAAAATTTCGCGTCTTAAATGAAATTGGCGGACTATAATTATCAGTATTCTACGAGAGAAGTATTCTATGAGATCCGATAGTATGGTAGAAAGAAATA